AGAGAGAGAGAGAGAGAGAGAGAGAGGTACTTCGTCTGCAGAGCTCCGTAAAGAGGAGAGGCCAATCTTATTTCTACAAATGGAGATCACATTTTGCCCCCACAAAGAGAAACCAGAAACTCCATCACTATAACCTCTAAAAACTGTATGCTCTGCTGTCCAATTCCTGGGAGAGCAGAACATACAAAAAGGGATCACAAAAGGCTAAAATACTATGTTTGGACATACAACCAAAAAGCTCACTGACGTCCACCGAATGCTTTTAAAATCTTTGATAGTTCAATGTCACTCTCAAGACTATTTTACATAGAGGTTTTAAGTTTTTTAACCAACCAAGGTAATCTTTAAAAATAATATTCGATTGAGTCAGGTTCAGAGAAACGGAAAAAATAAATTACCTTCTCAAATCCCAAATTCTCACGGTTTTGTCGAGAGAGCTAGAAACAAGCTGATGATCTCCAGCTGCAGCTAGCTGCAAGGATTTAAAATTTGCACGTGAATCAAGATTTCCTTTCAGCCTTGTAAATCACAGTGCAGATTATACCTTTGTCACATATCCATCATGTGCCTGCCAGGAAGAAATAATTTTTCCACTGTTCATGTCAAATAGCCTGCAATAACCATTGCTGAATGCAGCTGCAATCCACGATGGAGGGCCACCACTTTCCTCCGGACGCTCTTTGACCGAGCTAGAAGAGCAAATGGATGATATAAGGGATGGGAAACTATAGCCACTGGATTCACTCCTCCAAAGATGAAGTTTCTGACCTCGATTGACATCAATGAATCTGTTTGGCAAAAACCGTAATTTTAACATGTCCTTATATATGTATGCATACAAAAGTTCGCACATAAGTACGAAACTACCTTAGAGATCCATTTCCAGTACCCACAAGAAGCCTATCCTTGAATTCCAAATAGTCCATGGTAGTGTATGAATTCCCATGAAAAGCAGTGCTTACCATTCCGGTTGGTAATGGATTGAAATGAAGCATATTGTCTTCGTCTCTTTCTTTCGACTGCGTCGAAAGTAAGGAATTCTCAGAAAATATAGAAATTGGTCTCCCAGTTTGTCCATTCCATATATGTACTGTTCCATCACAAGAAGCTACCCTTCCAGAAGAAGCTAAAATAAAAATGTCATTCACAACCTGACAACAAAGAAAACACAGCAACTGAGACATCTGAAGTTACTATTTTCTGGATATACCAACTGACATTGAATGCCTAAAAAGAAAAATTAGTCTAGAAAGAGCAAAGTGGTTATATCATATGGAAAACCCATATAACCCACATATATAGAACAAATAACTTATATAGACCAACATCTTTATCTTGTGAAACACGATACAGCTGCGCATATAAAAAGTCATTGCTGTCATCGCGATGTAAAATAATCATTCATTGAATAGACTGTACAAACCTCATCATGGCCATTATAGCATGACACACAATCAACTCGTGACAGTTCCCACTTCTGAATATTTCCTTTGAAGTTCGGACCAACTCCAGCTGTGAATACTGTACACTCATTCTGACAAACAGCGAAAGATCTCAGAGCCCCATGATACGCACGGAAAGATTGTATGACGGATGCTCTAACTTTCCACGGAAGTTCATCCTTCGGACCACTAGCACGGCCAGTAAAATCAAGCTCATTCAAGCTAGCCACAGCACTAGGGAACCAATACCAAGGTTCTCGCATATCTAATCTTGAACTCGTGCCATACCTCTCAATAGAACTCTGATTATTTGTGACCATATGTTTACCTGGATAAAGGTTTTTGGAACCTTTCTTACCCTGTGATTGAGGTCTTGACCATCCAACCCCATTGACTAGGAGTTTGGCTGGTAAGTCTTCAGATGTGGAACCCTTGTTGTAAGAGTGTCTTCTAAAATTTATGCTCTCAGGACAATTTTGATTGGAATCCCCTGCATATTCCCACTGAATAATATTGAAATAAGAAGAAGCACAAAATCTATAAAGCATAACTGCAGCAGTAAAATTTCTAGATTACACACTCTTTAAAGAAACATATGCTAGCATTAAATGATAAATATTATTCTAGTCACCTCTAAATACATGTACCACTAATAATGATCTATGTGCTACTGCTATTTGAAGATGCATAGTGTTTCTTATGCAATTAGATTAGAGGACTGGACACAAGTATCAAGAATGGCATCACAGAGAAGAAGCTGCAATGCTAAAATCAAATCCACTTCAACAAAATAGAGTTAGATTAAGAGGTGCATTTGCATTTCCAAACATAAATATCACTATGCTATAAACAAAGATTTCCGAGTAAGCATTACAGAATCTCCAAGATCATTTTTGGAAAAAGAGAGAGAGAGAGAGAGAGAGAGAGAGAGAGAGAGAGAGAGAGAGAGAGAGAGAGAGAGAGAGAGAATAGTCTTCTCTACCATATATCCTATTTTGACACCAAGAAATGAGGATTTTTCTAGAACCGGAAATGTGTTTTCAATTATTCAACATTGCCTTTTTGCAGATTCAACGTTACCCAGATTAGTCAACATTATAATACTACTGAGCATGAGAAATTCTAAACTACAAGATAAAACCTGTCCATCTCAGGCATCTAGTTCATCCAACCACAGAAGAGATATTCACATGCATACAACTACGAATGATTTCTAATTATGACAAGTCAGATTGCTGCTGTGATTAATATAACAATTTTACATTGTCCTTGCAAACAAAAGCAACAAAACAAATAGAAACACGTACTTTCCAGTTATGATGCCGTAAAAGGAGTTGTTCAAGAATCAACCACATTGCACAGCACTGGCGGAGTTTCTCTATTCCAAGAAGAGAAGCAAGCTGAGAATACAAACGTAACCTGCCAATATTTCAATATTTATGAGGGCCTTAAAGATCAAATAGATTAACCACAACAGGTCCTATTATCATCACAATTCGGAAGACTCACACCAAATCCATGCGGCTTTCACAGCAATCTTCTTCCCTCACATTTGCTCTAGGTTCCACAACGCTTCCAATCAAATAAACAGATTGACTGTTCTCTTTCTGAGTAAAAGCGACCTCATAGAATAACTCCTTTAGTTTTGGCAGAACATGCAATGCAGTTGAGTCTGGACCTATCTGCTGGCAGATTCTAATGAGGCCTTTAGCAGCATTCTGCAAATAACATTTAACAAACCATTGTTTACCATTGACAATATAGGTCTTTAGTGACAGTATACATCCAGCCCTTGAGCCAGTAAAATAACACAATTTTTCAGTGGAAGCAGAAATACACATGGGAATTTGTACTAGGCAGTCGGTGCATGTGTCTCTAGCAAGTATAGTAATACGTATGTATTGAAGTTCCTTGTGCAAGAAGGGTGAGCATTTTAAATATCAGTATCCCCAATACAGAGCATATGCCTGCATATATTATGCCCGATGGCCTTGAATTATTTTTTTTTATCGAACTTAGAATATGATCAATAATATTTAAATAACTTAGAACGAATATTTTCATGAACAGAATCTCATCCAAACATCACAGAACTTTCTCAGATAAGAATTAAAAATTCTTGCAAGAGCATTAAAGAGAGAGAGAGAGAGAGAGAGAAAGAGAGAGAGAGGGAAGAAAAAGAAGAACATACCTGAAGCACCAGGAATCCCATGTCTTTGTGCATGAGAATCTTAACATACTGGCAATTTCCTTCCTGTCGAAGTACAAAGTTGGCTATTGTTACTCTACGTCTTCAGTCAACAAGGAAAAGATATAGGACAAAGGATGGTCAAACCTCAATTAGCTCCTTCACAATTGTATCAGTAGTTAATGTAGGAACAAAACCATCTAGTACTGTCAGACAATCCATCAAGGCCAAGGAACCCCAACTCTGCATGGGTTCAGGTTTATTAACATGTAAAGTGCAGATGCAAGAGTGGATCACTTTATGCAACAATGAAATAATTTGTTTCACGATGAAATTTTCTCCAAAAAGCCCACCTGAAAAAAATTGTGAGATCATCTACACGTTGAACAGGCATCTTCCTGAAAAGAACATATTGACGGCCTAATATGAGGAACATACCAATTCTAATTAACACGTCAACTCCATCATTGGATATTCCCTTGCCAAAAGAGAGCATCAAAGGTAAAATTGTCTGGACAATTAGAACACATAAGTAAATGAGTATTACAATGGAAATACATAGCACGCATTATGACTAAAATCTGGGATTATACATTATAATAAAAACAATATTAACAACCTGATGGAAAGTAATCGGTACACCAAGCTCTTCACTGGACCCAATGAGTAGAACGGCGGCAGCACCACTTGAGCTCTTAGGAGGAGTAGCACACAGATTTGATATTATAAGTGGATGTATTGTCTCAAGGTATGCTTGCTTACCTATCCTATTCCATATCTCCTGCATAAATGAGCCTTGAAGAAGAGAAACCTTCAAATGCAAATGGCTTGTACCCTGAAGAAGTCATCTCGAAATAAGCAGAGAAAAGATATTGGATGGTATTGTACTGCAGCAAGATATTACTGAAACAAAGTCAAACAAAAACCTGCAAAATTCTTTGGATAGATGGCACGATAAGCTTCATAACGGCCCCTAATTTTAAGTATCTGAGAAATTCAGTAAGCAGTACATAGGCCCATTCAGCTTCAGTATCTGAGGCAGAAGCCACTACCAACTGTAAACAAAAAGGAGCACATATTTCAGTGCCAAAAGCTCCCATGGCTTTCAGAGCTCCTCGTCTTGCAAAAGTAGCAGCATACTGAAGACGGGATTCATCTTTTGCTAGAAGATGAAATGAAGCCAAAAACAAGTAGGCTGACTTGACTGATTTCATGAAGTATGGAGATTCCAAAAGGCATTTGGCAGAAGGCCTCCTGGTAAACAGAAATGGAAAAGGGAGTTTTAACTAAAAAAGACTGCTACCAAATTCTAGTTTACAATGTTACTCCTTCTGAATGCAGGCCTCCTGAGATATATATAGAATGCTTTGGGACTATCTACATAAATTTCTTTACCTGTCCCACTCCTTCTGAATGCAGGCCTCAATAAAAACTTTCATGCAATGGGGAAGGCCCTGCATTGAACTTGGGAGGACACCACTCTCCATGTATGACGCAAATGAACTCGGACCAAAAAGAGGCTTCTTCAAGTGAAGTTCGGCTAAAATACACCCGACAGCAAATATATCTTCGGCAGCTTCCTTGGAATTTATCTTTGAGAAAGATGTCTGCCTCCAAAGCAGTAGTTCTTGATATCCCCAAGAATCATCATCCACTTCAATATTCTCAATAATATAATCTGAATCAATAATTGAGGTGGGGCTGTAGTTCCTTGAAGAGTCAGGATCTGTAGATAACATATTTTCGGAACTATCCCTCAAAAGCTCATTTTTGTGGGGATCATCCTTCAAACTTTCACTAGATGGAATTAGGTAATTAGGATCTAAATGCCAGGAGTTCTCACAGAATGAAGTTGCTTCTTCCAGTTCACTTAAAGAATTAGCTTCAATAACCAGATGCTTGCCCTGAATATCATTCACTTTAATTTGACATCTGTTCTCACGAGCTCCCCTTGCAACAATTTGACGAGGAGGGTGAGGTTGAGTGAAAAGCTGGAACCTCCCCGTTGACCTCGGTAATGTGGAAGTTGATGCTGGCAACATCACATTTTTAGCAGCAATGGCAGCCTCACCGGACATTTTGTAGCCGAAGGTGAGGTCAATCCAGTGGTGTATTTGACATGAGACTCGGTAACTCTCCAGGGCATCTTTATGCAACTTGATGAACTCCTCCGGAGAGCCTGCCCATGAAGGAACAGCCAAATCTGGCATGCCAGTATGTATGGAATAAAATATGCTGGGATCACAGTAGAATTCAGGAATACACTCATCAGGGGTCCATTGATACAGTCGTTGCATGTTAGAGGGATACTCATTAGGTTCATAAACTGAACGGACAGCAGTTCGGAGAACACTCAGAGGCAACCTCCGAGCTTTGTAACTGCAAACAGCCAATTCGGACAGGCATTCATCAGACACATGGTGAGGGATTTCAGATGTTGAATAAGTGAAGTCCAACTGCTCGTCGCCTTTTGCCAAGTGCCACTTGCTCTTGCTCAGATCTCTCCACCCTGCATTGCTTTCTTCATCAGGTTTCATGGTAAAATCTATGACCCAAGGCATAACAGTGTAAAAGGTGTGGTCACCCCACCTCCTTCCTGCTAATCTGTTTAAAATAAGCAGATACTCAAAATTACTGAGCTCCCCCTTCCACCAACTGTAGAAACTAGACTTCCAATTTCGAGATTCGGTGATACTTAAATCAGCATAAATTTCACGAGAGGAAATACATTCGGAACAAAAACCATGAGCAGAAGGTTCACGGAAACCATCACTTGGATCCACCTTCGAGTTCAGCAGCTGTTTCCCACCAATTTGTAACCAACACCATAATGTGTCGGACAACATAATGTTGGATGGTACCAAATCACCATGGGCAACACCCAGACCATGCATGTAAGAAAGAGCCGATAGTATTTGATAAATTAGGAGCTGCATCATCCAATCAGACTTTATGGAACTAGGGCTATAGTGCAGAATGTTTTCAAGTGTATATGGTGCCTTTGGAAATACAAGGCCAATTTGGCAAGATGACTTTAGCATTCCCAAAACGGGACAAATATTTGGATGCCTTATGCAGCCAGGAAACCCCTCATCCTCAAATGTTGGCAGTCCAACCAAACTAAGAAAATTTACACTTTCTCTTGTTGTGGACTTTCCTTCCATAAGATGGCTTATCGAATGCAGAAGTTGATCTTCATTCAAACCAGACGAGAAACTCAAAGCAAGCTCATCAAATAATTCACCGGACGCATGACCAATCTGAGCAGTCGGGGCCAACGAAGTTATGGTCCTCGAGCAAGAAAACCTAGTCAACGTTCTACATTTTTCACAACCCATATGGAACTCGATTCTGCCACCATTCGGGAAACGCCGACATTCAGTTGGTGCAGAATCTAAAGCAGTATTTCTATCATTACAAATTCCAAGACTGACCTCTGCTTGATCTTGCTCTACGCAAGAAGGGCTCGGTTTCTCCACGGTGCTCACATCACCACCTTCAGGCTCACAATAATCATCCCTGGAAAGAAAAATAAAACTTTATACGTATCAAAAGTACTCTGAACCTACAAATTACATCTCATAAGTATAGTTAAAAACATAAATATGTGAAAGCAATCAACCATACACGTATCTGCCCAGGCAATCGTATCTACTGTAAGGCACGTAATCCAAAATGAACTGCTGCGGTGGTACTTCACCGGATTCCGGCACCTGCGACCCATTAACAAGCTGGTTGATGCAAAAACTCATTTGAACAGTACGCAAAAAGGAAAAAACAAAAAGTTAATCAAGAACAGATCATCTGAACAGTTAGAGACCTGAACGACTGCTCGGGAACCAAAAGGGACGGTTGAATCGGAGAGGCCGTGGATGAAGGTGAGTCGGCCGGAGAAATGGGCTTCGATTCGCCGTTGAAGGCAATCGAAGCACATTTCTGACACACTTCCCATTTTTCTGGAATTTCCTTGATCGGTTTCCTCAGCTATTTTTTCTCCATTAAAATCGGATTCGATGATCCTATGGGTTTTTAGCTGGAGAAATCATCTTTTCCGGAGTGAAGCTTTAGCTCGAGGTTTGAGTTGGCACTAAGCAGAGCTAATTGAAATCGTGTTTGTATACAACAATACAACATACAGATTTCAACAATTTTTTACTTGTTATAAAATACGGGAAATATAAAGAACACAATGTAAAAACCGGATAAAAATTATAAGGAGCTTTCTTTCTTTCTCTCTTCTTCACTTTTGGGTACAACAGATACACAACTTATCTTGCCTTTTATAGGCAAAGTGGCACGCATTTCTATACAATAATGAAGAGATAATATTTATTAGTGGTAAATCCACTTATCATAACACTCCCCCTTGGAATTACCACTATTAAATGTGCGTTTAGGCTGCCTCGTTAAAAACCTTATCTGGAAAAACCCTGTGGGAAAAAAACTGAGACAAGGAAAAAAGAGTACAGCCGCACATACTCCCCCTCGAGTTGTCATCCGTGCAAATCCCGAAGATGTCTCATTCCAATATTGTGCACGTGCTTTCGAAATATTGTCGTCGGAAGCTCCTTCGTAAATAAATCTGCTGCATTATCGCTTGATCGGATGTATTGAACTTTGATTTGTTTGTTTCTTTCAAGCTCTTGCGCATATAAGAATAACTTTGGCGGGATATGTTTAGTTCTGTCATTCTTGATGTATCCTTCTTTTGTTTGAGCGACACATGCTGCATTGTCTTCGAATATCACTGTCGGGTCATTATTATTTGATAGTCCACTGGTTTGTTGAATGTGTTGAGTCATGTTTCTGAGCCAGATGCATTCTCTAGTTGCTTCATGTAATGCAATGACCTCGACATGGTTTGAAGACGTCGCGACTAATGTTTGTTTCTGGGAACGCCAAGAAAATGCAGTTCCGCCAATCGTAAAGACGTATCCAGTTTGAGATCTTGCTTTATGGGGATCTGAGAGATATCCTGCATCTGCAAAACCGATTATTTCATGTTTTCTATCGTTAGAATAAAACAGTCCCAAATCGATTGTCCCTTGGAGATAACGGAATATATGCTTAATTCCATTCCAATGTCTCCTCGTAGGTGCCGAGTTATATCTCGCCAACAAGTTGGTAGCAAAAGATATATCTGGTCTGGTGCAATTTGCAAGATACATAAGAGCCCCTATTGCACTCCTATATGGTATTTCAGGATCAAGTATTTCTTCATCTTCATCACAAGGTCGAAATGGATCCTTTTCGACATCTAATGTTCGATTGACCATTGGGGCACTAAGTGGATTAGCCTTGTCCATATTGAATCGTTTCAGTATTCTTTTAGTGTAATTAGATTGATGGACAAATATCCCATTCTGGACCCGTTCTATTTGCAAGCCGAGACAATATTTGGTCTGCCCGAGGTCTTTCATTTCAAATTCGTCTTTTAGTAAAGTGACTGCTTCTTGAATTTCATTTGTAGTCCCAATAATATTAAGATCATCGACATAGACAGCAATTATCACAACTCCATCTTGTGATCTTTTTATAAAAACACACGGGCATATTTGATTATTTATGTATCCCCGTTTAAGCAATTGTTCACTCAAACAATTGTACCACATACGCCCGGATTGTTTCAGGCCATACAATGATCTTTGCAGCTTTATCGCACATAACTCTTTAGGTTTGGATTTTAGTGCTTCGGGCATTCTAATTCCTTCTGGAATTTTCATATAAATGTCAGCGTCTAGTGATCCATATAAGTAAGCAGTCACAACGTCCATAAGACGCATTTCAAGATTTTCATGGATGGCCAAACTAATCAAGTATCTGAAAGTAATTGCATCCATAACAGGGGAATATGTTTCATCATAATCAATCCCAGGCCTCTGGGAGAATCCCTGTGCTACAAGACGAGCTTTATATCTTGTGATTTCATTTTTCTCATTTCTTTTTCTGACAAAAACCCATCTGTACCCAATAGGTTTTATGTCTTTGGGTATAATGGTTATAGGTCCAAAAACCTTTCGTTTATTAAGCGAATTTAACTCGGCTTGAATAGCACCTTTCCACTTGTCCCAGTCATGTCTTTTCTGACATTCAATCATAGACTTTGGTTCAGGATCCTCAACTTCTTTGTCAATTTCTTGTGATACCATATATGCGAATGCATCATCAATGATCTCATCACGCTTCCAAAGTTTCCCATTATTTACATAATTGATGGAGATTTCAATATTTTCATTTCGTTCCAAAATTTTTTCATCATCTTGATTCCTTTTCAAATTCGAATTTTGAATTTCTCTTTTCTTTCGAGGATTCTTTTCTTTAGACCCCACTGGTCTTCCTCGTTTCAATTGTGCCTTTACTTCATTTGGCACATCGTCATTTGCCATTTCTTTTGGAATCTCAATTCAAGCAGGGGCATTTATAGCTGCAACATGTGATTTTGTCACCCTTTTTGTATCAGTAAATGCATCTGGCAATTGATTTGCAATATTCTGCAGATGTATAATCTTTTGAACTTCTTGCTCTCTTTGTTTGGTGGGAGGATCAAGATATGACAGTGATAATGTTCTCCATTCAATATTTTTTCTCAATTGACTTTTCATTCCCACCTAAAGGGGGAAACAGTTCTTCATTAAAATGACAATCACCAAATCGAGCTGTAAAAACATCACCTGTTTTTGGCTCAAGATATTTTATTATTGATGGAGATTCGTATCCAACATATATTCCCAACCTTCTTTGAGGCCCCATTTTCGTACGTTGGGGTGGAGCAATTGGTACATATACTGCACAACCAAAAATTCTCATATGTGCAATATTTGGTTCTCGACCAGATGCCAACTGTAATGGCGAGTATGTATGGTGTGCACTTGGTCTTATGCGAATTAGATTATCTGCATGCAGAATAGCATGTCCCCATACTGAAGTGGGCAGTTTTGTCCTCATTATCAATGGTCTGGCTATAAGCTGCAATCGTTTGATCAATGATTCTGCTAGACCATTTTGAGTATGAACATGTGCTACAGGATGTTCAACATCAATTCCCACTACCATACAATAATCATTAAATGCTTGAGATGTAAATTCTCCAGCATTGTCCAGTCTGACTCTTTTGATAATATAATCTGGGAATTGAGCCCTTAATTTGATAAGTTGGGCAAGCAATTTAGCAAATGCCACATTTCTAGTGGATAACAAACTCACGTGAGACCATCTACTAGAAGCATCAATCAACACCATAAAATATCTGAATGGACCACAAGGTGGATGAATAGGTCCACATATATCACCATGAATCCTTTCTAAAAATAATGGTGATTCATGCCCGACTTTAGTATGTGATGGTCTTATTATCAATTTCCCTTGAGAACATGAGGTACACGTCAATTCACGTGTTTGCAATATCCTCTGATTTTTTAACGGATGTCCACTAGAATTTTCAATAATTCTTCGCATCATTATCGAGCCAGGATGACCAAGTCTATCATGCCAAAGTTTAAACATTTCATTCGCTTGTGATTTTGTTGCAGCATAAGTCTCAATAATATAAATGCGGGTGTAATATAAGCCCGATGATAAAGCTGGCAATTTCTCCAAAACACATTTATTTCCCGCAACATTTGAGGTAATGCAAAGGTATTCAACTCCCCCTTCATTCATTGTTTCAACATGGTATCCGTTCATTCGGATATCTTTAAAACTCAACAAGTTTCTTGTTGATTTCGGGGAGAATAATGCATCATTCAATGTAAACTTTGTTCCTCCCAGCATAAAAAATATGGCTTTTCCAGAACCCTCAATTATCTTTGCATTTCCAGATATTGTGTTTACTTTTGCTTTATTTAACTTCAAGTTGACAAAATATTTTTTGTCCTTGAGTATAGTATGAGTTGTGGCACAATCAGCAAGACATATATCTCCATTTTGAATTCGAGACCGATCCATGATCCAAAAGAAAACAACATTTATTATTGATTAAAGTCGAAATACAGATAAAAACACACAAATACAACAAAACTTAGAAAGTAATAAAAACAACAACATGATCATCAGTTATTCTCTTGATCATTTCCAGCTCTGTCTTCAAATACTGCATCAGCAAAATCTAGGTTCAACATGTCATCGATACCATAGTCATCATCTACACGTGTTGTATCATTTGCAGAGGATTCCCCAACTATAAAGTTAGTTTCTACATTTTTATCTTTTGATTTCTGGGAATCATTATATTTATCAACCACGTGTTTCGGAGCACGACAGTTTCGTGCCCAATGCCCCGTCTTTCCACATCGATAACATGCATTTTCATTATTATTTTCCGTCACATTATTTTGTTCAAATTTTGGCTGGAAATTTCTCCCCCTTTCAAAATTTTGGACATAGCCACGGCCTCGTCCACGATAATTTCCTCGGCCCGAGTTGTACCCTCTGTGAAATTTGAAGCCTTGGTCAAATCGGCGATCTGGGCCATATCCACGGCCACGGCCACGTCCACGGCCACGACCCCGGCCACGTCCCGGGGTGTTTCCACGCACATACGTCTGGCTGTTTTCAGTTCCGGTTCCCTGTTTAGATATTACAACATTTATTTCAGGGACCGCAGTAGACCCCGTGGGTCTAGATTCATGATTTTTCATCAACAACTCGTTATTTTGTTCAGCCAACAGCAAACAAGAAAACAACTCAGAATATTTTACAAAGCCTTTTGCTCTGTATTGTTGCTGCAATAATACATTTGAAGCGTGGAACGTGGACAACGTTTTTTCCAGCATATCGTAATCAGTTATGTTTTCTCCGCATAATTTCAATACCGAACAAATGCGGAACATGGCCGAATTGTACTCGTTAACAGTTTTGAAATCTTGGAAGCGTAAATGCATCCATTCGTAACGAGCCCGGGGGAGAATCACCGTTTTCTGGTGATCATACCTTTCTTTCAAGGCTTTCCATAGA